AAAATATTAAAAAACATCATGTTAAGGAAAATAAGTCAAGCCCAGAAGGATAAGGGTGTATGTTTGCTCTCATATGTGGAAGCTAGAGAGGAAAAAGGAAAACAAAGGTGGGGGTGGACCTCAAGAAAAGTAAAGGGAGATTAATAGAAAAAATAAATCAAGGGTTGTGAGGTAGGTAGGGAGGAAGCCAATGCTGGGGAGTGGCCAAATTATATTGTTATATTGAGTGCATGCACAAATATTGTAATGACAAATTCAACTATAATGCACCAATAAAAATATGGAAATTGAAAAAAATAAAATATTGTTAAGAAAAAAGAAGAAAATATATTTATATACTAAAGATTAATTGGGAAAGTGAATCAAAATGTGGAAATGACAACCTAAAGATATTGTCTTCATGGTTAACACACATTGTGGCATACAAATATAAGTAAAAACAACAAAGAAAAAATAATAAGATGGATTGATATGTTGAATTAGAATACAGTAATGGTATGTATGTATAACTTCATAAAATTAGATTTAATTGTGTTAACAATGATTTTTTTTTTCTTTTAAGTAGAGTTCAGGCATCTCCAAAATATCTTCTTATGTTTCAGGTACAGACAGAAAATCGACAAAATTTATAGCAATCTCTCTTCATATTAGTCATGAGAAAAATAAAATCTAGAATATCAGAACATAAGGATTACTTTAATAAGAACAGAATAAAATGAACAAAAAATAACCGAGGAATAACAACAGTGATAACAGAAAAGAGATCTTCAAATTATAGCATATCTGAACTTTAGAAAATTGAAATTAAAAAGGAAAACTGTTTTATATTTTGTACACCAAGAGAGACTAAATGCCTTTAAGAACTAAACATTTACAGATATGCTTGAGTGAGTGGGGCTCTGACGCTTACAAAATATAGTTCAGATGATCTTTTAAAAAAAAACACAGAATAATACTAGAAATATTAGAAATATTGGGAAACTGATTTAGGCAGTATTGAAGCTTATTTTTAAAATTAGAGCATCAAAAGAAAATTTATATTTAGGATTGAAAATGGACTAAAACTAGTGACTGAGCAACCTAATAGAATATATTGTGTGCTTCATACATCAATAGTACTAGAGAATTAGACAGTAAGCTGGGCATAGTGTTGTATGCCTATAATCCCAACAACTTGGGAGGCTGAGACAGGAGGATCTTGAGTTCAAAACCAGCCTTAGCAAAAGTAAGGTACTAAGCAACTCAGTGAGATCCTGTCCCTAAATAAAATACAAAATAGGACCGGGGATGTGACTCAGTAGTCGAATGCACCTGAGTACCAAAAAAAAAAAAAAAAAGAAAGAAAGAAAAAAATTAAAATGAAGGAGTTTTAGATAGTAAGTAAAAACCTGCTTAGTACTGGGCTTTGGACTGGGAACTCTACTCAGCATGAGAACATTGCACTTAAAAATGTATTGAATGTAGCCAATAATGTTTTATGAGAAAATAAATTTCTTTTTTTAATATTGTCTTACACTATTCTCTAGACATTAACACAAATGGTTATGTTAAAAACAAAAAAAACGGAGACAAATAAGAGATATACTGGGTAAAAAGTATCAAAGGCAAGAGAAATAATCTGGCAAAAGTCAGGAAATTTTTTTTAGAAATGTGTATAAGAAAGGTACCTAAGTAAAATTTTTGAAATGAAGTTTTGTTAGTAATATGTATATGTATATATGCATGTGTTTATGTGTGTGTGTGTGTGTGTGTATAATGTTTGAATAAAATCAAAATTTATTATTTGCCATTTTGTTTTTTTTTAAATAGGATTTGTCTTCTAGTTATGAAGTTTAGGAAATTTTGTTTTTGGATCATGAAAATAATAAATAAAATTTAAAAATTTTTAAAAAAACATTTCTTTTTTAAAAATTAAATTCTTGAATATCTGCATAATTATTGTGAAGTCTATCTGGAACAATAAATATCAATACATTTGTACTCAACAAAACAGAAATATGAAAATTTCAAAGAACTCCAGATTGTTTTGAAAAATAAATGAAACCAATGAAAATGTCCTCTGGGATCCGATCACTGATATCATACTCAATGTGATTGCTTAACTAAGCATTAAGTTCCATCAGGACTTCAGAACAGTAAATTAATCACTTAAAAAATGCTTGTACATAGAAATTTAAGTGCAGTTCTGGAAAAAGGTAAGGCTGAACTTGAAAAATGTTTAACTTTGTAGATTATGTCTAAGATCTACAAATCAGAGATTTTTTTTTGCTTGTGTGTTCTTTTTAGATATATATGACAGTAGAGTATATTTTCATATATATGCATGGAGTAGAGCTTACTAATTAATTAGAATCCCATTCTTGTGGTCATACATCATGTGGAGTTGCACTGGTCATGTGTTCATATCTGAGCACAGGAAAGTTATGTCTGATTCACTCTTGTGTATTACATATTCCCATCTCCCCACCCTTCCCTTCATTCCTCTTTGTCTAATCCAATGAACTTCTATTTCTTTCTTCCCCTCCCTCCCTTGTTGTGGGTTAGCATCAACATTTCAGAGATACTTAAATATACTTTTTAGATCTGTCATACTGTTTTTGGAGACACTTGGAAACTTCATTGTCCTATTTGTTCAAGGTTGTAAAAGCTAGAAATTTACTTGAGTTGTATGTAAAAGAAAGGTAAAAAAGATTTATTGATACACATAATTAAAATCACATAACTATGTATTTACAACACAATAAGTTGAACAAAATAAAACAATACATTTTATTGTGCTGATAATAAACCAGCTACATTAAACTTATCTTTCTGCTCTAGATGAATAGAAACCTTAAATTTAGTATATTTTTTTAAAATTTGTTTTAATTAGTTACACATGACAGTAAAATGATCTTAACATATCATACATTTAAATCAGATGGGGTATAATTTCTCATTTTTCTGAGCGTACAGGTTGCAGAATCACATTGGTCATGCAGTGAGTCCTTCCTTTCCCCACTTCCCCTCCCCTGCCCTCCCATCACTTCTCTCTGCCCAATCTAATGTGACACACTTCTTTTTTTTTCTTTTTCCTCAAATTGTCATACATGTATTTAGTATATATTTATATATATAGTATATATTTCATATATATGTATATATATTCATACATGTATTTAGTATATATTTTAAGAAAAAATGGTATAGGCAGTAATAAATGAAAAAAAAATATTTTAAAATAATAGAGGTATACTGGCTCAATCTAATATTCATCACAACTTCTGGAAGGGGCATTTTCTGATGAAAAGTTCAGGACAATAAGTGACCAATCAAATATATTCAGAATCTCCTTGCTGTTTTGAAAAATTTTCCCACCTTTTAGACTGTGTGTCCACACAGTGAGATTTAATTTTTATTTATTTTTTGTTCATTCTTTTTAGATATACATGACACTAGAATATATTTTGACATATTAAACATACATGGAGTATAACATTCTAATTAGGATTTCATTCTTGTGGTTTTACATGTTGTGAAGTTTTACTAGTCATATATCAATATATGAACATAGGAATGTTATGTCCAATTCTTTCTACTGTCTTTCCTCTTCCAATATCCCATTTCTTCCCTTCATTCCCCTTTGTCTAATCCAATGAACATCTATTCTGCCCCCTCTTCCTTATCATATGTTATCATCCACATATCAGAGATAACGTTTGGCTTTTGGTTTTTTTGGACTGGCTTATTTCCCTTAGAATAGTATTCTCCAGTTGTTTCTGTTTGCCATCAAATGCCATAATTTCATTCTTCTTTTTGGCTGAGTAACATTCTATCACACAATGAGATATGAATAAGCCTAATAGTAACCATTTTCCAAAAGGAATGGTTTATAAAAAGAACTATTAGAAGGCAACAAGACATTTGTGAAATTAATAAGAATTGCCAGGGTAGAAAAATTGAAACCATAGAAAATTTTCTAGAGCATATTTTTATAATTTTGAGTATTCATTTATAACATGCAAAAAATCATAATATAGTGATCAATAATAAAGTGATAAAATAACATGGAGTCATAGACAATGTAGTTGTTATAGTTAGTAAAAGACAATTTAAAATATGGAAGTAAACAATGCATAGGATTGTATACATCAAAATAGAAGTAGAGTACACATTAACAAAACAAAATGAAATTAATATATATTTGGTGGACATAACCACAAACTTGAAATAGTAAAAGAAAGGTTCAAAACAATTGATGACTAATCAAAAGAAAATATTCAAATAGAAAATGATGAAAATTTAAACAGAACAAAAATTTGGAAACATGAAACATAATAAAAAAGAGAGATAGCCTACTTGGGATTGGATTTCCTTTGGAAAAGAGAAGAAAGAAAAAAGCAATATTTGGAGAAATAATAATCAAAGGAGTTCCATGTTGATGTTGAAAATTTCATAAGCTCATTATACACCAAAAACAAATTAAATTTTTCTTAGAAACAGCAAGAATTTTATGATACTGTTGAAAATTAAAGATAATGAAATCAGAAGCATGTATTAGTGCATGCCCATAATCCCAGTGATTTGGGAGGCTATGGTAGGAGAATGGCAAATTGGAGGTCATCCTCATCAATTTAACTATACCTTGTCTCAAAATTTTTTAAAAAATTAAATTAAATTAAAAGGGCTGGAGGTTAAGCTCAATGGTAAAGCGACCCAGGGCTCAGTCCCTAAAAACACAAAATAAATTAATAAACAAGCAGATAAAGATAATGAGAAAATTAAATAGTGGCTAGAGAAGAATGTAAGAGTCATTGACTTTTAACACAAATCATGAAAGACAGGAAAAAATAGGGTGGGAAGGGGCAGAATTGTATGTCAGGAAAAGATAGCTTCAAAAATTAAAGAAAAGTTTCTAGGTGAGCAAAGGTGGAAGACATCATGCCAGTGTTCTTGCATTACAAGAAATATTAAACCATGTTTTTCAAGTAATAGAAAACATCATCAAAAGCCTACCAACAAATACTATACGTTCAGGGATAATTTCTATAGTTTGTTACTATAGAAGTTTCTCTGATCCTGCAGAGTACCAAAAGCAACAAGAGGAGTGTAGCATTCCCTTCTGAGTGTGAAGCTGACTTACAGTGCTCCTTTGCTGAAACTGCCTATTGCCATTGATGATCATTCTTCACTCCTCTTCGGAGAGCAAAAGGAAAGGAACTCAGTCTGAGTGGTTTCTGTTTAAAAAAAAAAAAAAAAAAAAGCCTACCAACAAACAAAAGCCCAGGACTAGACAGATTCTCAGCCAAGTTCTACAAGACTTTCAAAGAAAAATTAACACCAATACTCCTCAAGGTAGTTAATGAAAGAGAAAAGAAGGGAACCCTTCCAAACTCATTCTCTGAGACTAATATCACCCTGATACCAAAACCAGACAAAGACACATCAAGAAAAAAAAAAAAAAAAAAACAAAAAACTTGAGGGCAATATCACTGATGAATATACATGCAAAAATTCTTGGTAAATTTCTGGCAAATCACATACAAAAACACATTTAAAAGATAGTGAACCATGATCAAGTGGGGTTCATCTCAGGGAGCAGGGTTTGTTCAACATACAGAAGTTAATAAATGTAACTTATCATATTAAAAACACTTAAAACCAAGAATCATATGATCATCTCAATAGATACAGAAATAGCATTTGACAAAATACAGCACATCTTCATTTCAAAACATCAGAAAAACTAGGGATAATAGAAACATATCCCAAATCGTAAAAGCTATATATGTTAAACCCAAGGCCAGAATCACTCTAAATGGAGAAAATTTGAAAGCATTCACTCTAAAAACTGGAACAAGTGTCAAGGATGTCCTTCCTCTTTCACCATTCCTATTTAACATCATTTTTAAAACTCTAGTCAGAGAAACTAGAAAAAAGAAATTAAAGAAATACAAATAGGTAAAAAAGAACTCAAACTATCACTATTTGATGAGGACACGATTCTATATCTAGAAGATCCAAAAAAATTCCACCAGATATCTTTTAGAACTAATAAATGAATTCAGCAAAGTAGCAGGATATATATATATATATACACACACACACACACACACACCTAGGAATATATATATATAATATACCTAGGAATCAATATAACAAAAGATATGAAAGATATGAAAGATATGAAAGACCTCTACAATGAAACTACAGGACCCTAAAGAAAGAAATTAAAAAAAAAAAAAAATACCAGAAGATGGAAAGATCTCCCATGCTCCTGTATAGGCAAAATTAATATTGTCAAAATGGCCATACTACCAACAGCATTATACATATTTAATGCAATTCCTATAAAATCCCAATGACATTCTCCATAGAAATAGAAAGGACAATCATAGAATTCATTTGGAAGAATAAGAGACCCAGAATAGACAAAGTAATCCCTAGTAAGGAAAGTGAAGCAGGAGGCATCACAATACCAGATCGTAAACTATACTAGCCATAATAGTGGGAGCATTTGGATTGAGGTTATATGTTAATGTTAGTCCTAATTGATCTAGGACATCTCATCCCCATAAATTTACGGGAAGATGATCCAATAAATATGGCTGTATAGTTCCTTTACATCCTTCAGGACCCTTCCAATCTAATACCATTGTACTTCTATGAGGATTAGTCGCCACTCCTAGGCCTCAAAGAATTTGAGTGGCTTGTTGTAATGGCCAATGTTTTGGCCATTCTTGATGAGATATGATGCTAAGGTCAGCACCTGTATCAAGTAGCCTGCCGCAGTCTGGCTGGGCACAAAATCACGATCCACCACACACCTTGTAGATTCAAACAGCAACTCTTTATTCCCGAACTCACACCAGCACTCTACACACGTTCTGGGCCAAATCCACGTTCTGGTCAAAATCCACCAGGCTCTGAATCCCGCGAGAACTCAACGGGAACTCAAGGAGCGGGCACGCCTGAGGCAGCAGGATACGCCCTATTCCCAGCAGGGTACAACTTAAACCTGGAACTGCCCTAAACCCAAGGAGAGCCCTAAACCCTGATCCGCCCTAAACCCGGATCCTCCCTGGTCCTTGAGCAAGGTCACCTTACATGCAATATCACTGCAAATGACCTGGGTCCAATATGGAGAGTCCTTCCTCTAAGCAACATTGGGTAGGCTGACAAAGAAATTGCCATGTGTCATTCCTACTTGGCAATGGCTCTCAGCAGTAGCCCATTAAATTCATGTCCTTGAATATTTAGTTTTAGCATTGAGCGAGAATCTAAATTTAAAGACAGCATACCCCAATCTACACCTGTGGAGCCTAATCCCCTGGAACCTCTTTCTACAATACGACTGGAAAATTTATCATGCAGGCTGGGTATTATTAATAACTGTGCTATTCTATCTCTGGTGAAATTACTGATATACCTCTTGGAGAACTAGCTATAATTTTTATTTCACCTTCATAATTGGGATCAATTACCCCAGGACTTATCATAAGTCCTTTTAGTGTAAGAACTGCATCCCAATAATAAGCCTACTGTTCCTTGGGGAAGAGGTCCTTTTACTCCTGTGGGAATGATTTGAACTCCCACCTTTAGAATTAGTACTGCTCTGGCGCAGATGTCCAACCCTGCACTCCCTCTGGTTTGTCTGATGAGGGATTTAATGGATAATGTGTCCTGGGCACTACCCTGATGGTGTTGCTGGGTTCCTCCATTGCCCCGTATATTTGCGGTTGTGGGCCCCGGAGCGTTGGGCCCCCCAGTCCGTTTTTTGGCAATGGAGCCTGATGCCTTTCTCCATGATATCGTGGGTAAACACCTGGTCCTTGTCCGTTTTTTGATAATGGAGTACCCTCTATGGTGGTTTGAGAATGACATTCATTAGCCCAATGTCTCCCTCTATAGCATTGTGGGCAAATACCCGGTATTCTATTCCTTTCATACCTAGTTTTGTTAAACCCTTTTCCTATGGGGCAATTCCTTTTAAAATGTCCTGTTTGTTCATAATTGTAGCATGTTTTTGGCCTGGCATCTAAAGCCTGTTGTACTGCAGCTGCCAAGACTTGCCCTTATTCATTAATGTCTCTACATAATTTAATATATGTGTTTAAATCTTCATGTTTCCATGGTCTAATAACCTCTCTGCAGCAATGATTTGCTTGGTCATAAGCCAGTTGTTTTATTAATGGCATTGCTTGTTCTGTATCCCCAAAAACTCTGGCAGCTGTTTGAATAAGCCTATCTACAAATTCAGCGTAAGGTTCGTTAGCTCTCTGTTTTACCTTAGATAATTGACCTTGTAAATCTCCATGTCCTTGTAAAATCTTCCATGCCCTAACTGCGTCTGCAGCAATTTGTGTATATATAGCAGGATCATATTCAATTTGTTGCCCTTGACCCTCATAAGGTCCTTTTCCTAACAACATATCTAGATTTCTTTGAAGGTAACCGGCTGCTGCATTTCGCCTAGCTGTCTCCGTGCAAAATTCCTCATTGGCAACCTTCCATAACAAATATTGTCCTCCCTTTAGCACAGATTTACACATGCTAGCCCAATCTGCTGGCGTCATGTCCAAGTTGGTAATGGATTTGACCATGCTTATAGTGAAGGGTGTTTGGGGACCATAGGTTGTTACGGCCTCCTTTAACTGCTTCACTGTTTTGAAATCTAGAGCACAGTGAATTCGCTGCCCTCCTGCCTGCTCAAGTAGAGGGCATGCTAATCTTTGAGGTCCTGTCTCAGGATTCCATCTATCAACTACGGGGCTTGAGGGCCACTCAGCTGTCTCTATAGATGGAGCTGTTGGTTGAATTATGCCCTCTGGTGATAGAACGGTGTTAGTAGCAGCCTCCTGTTGTAGCTTTTTCCCTAATAGCCCATTTTCCTTTAAATTTTCTTCCTCTGTCTGACTAGCTCGAGAGACCTTCTCTTTTGCTTGATCTAAAATGTCTTTCTCCATGGTCTGAACCTCTAACAATTTACTTAACACTCTTTTGGTTTGTTTTTTACTATTTTCTAATCTACTATAAAGATAACGCAACCCAATAAGATAACACAAAACAAAACTGAAACAGAATGAAACAAAAAAATCGTTGTATCAATTTTCTCTTCCTCAGGGGCGAAAAACTTCAAACCTTGAGCCAACCATTTTTCCCAGTTTGCCTAAGAAAGTTCTAGGGAAAGGCAGCTTGAAACAAAAACAAAATAAATCAAAACCAGAACACATTGTTTTTTGAAATGGTCACCCATTCTCTCGCCTTCCCTCAGGGGCGAGCAATTTCACTTACCTCCGAGCTTCAGGCGTTCCCCGTATGGGCCACCAAATGACGCAGTCTGGCTGGGCACAAATCACAAGCCACTCAAGCAGGAACAAACTTTATTTCCAAAACTCCCGCGAAAATGCCACATATGAGGCCTTCTCCCAGGACACACTACACGAACAGGAAATCCTTCCTCCGGAATTCCCTCCTACCACACTTCCCCATCCAATGGTAACTCTCTGGGAGTCCTGGGAGAGCTCCAAAGTAGCAGGCCTAGGCAGACAGCAGGGGTCTAATCTCCAATTGAATGCACATCTTAACATAATCATTATCATCTCAATCGCTTGCTGGGGTCACCTTTCAACCAAAAATGCCATGCATCATTCCTACTTGGCTATGGCTCTCAGCAGAACAAAATCAAAATTGTATGATGACTAGAAATAGTAGACTGCACTTTTTCTTATGGTAAGAGAACAAATTTATGATAAACTAATTAGCTACAAATGTATTTTTTGTGACTTTTAGTGTATCTGTTAAATGCAATGATACCAAAACTGCCCAAGAAATATTAATGAAATGCCAAAAAAGTGAATACTTAAGAACCCAATTAATGAAGTAAAATAAATAAAAGATAGAATAGAAAAAAAAAATTTAAAAATTATAATACCCCCAAAAATAAATAAATGAAAACTTACATTGATCATACAAGAATCAAGAAAAACAGATAACAAATAACAATATAATAGTCCATAATAAAAATATATAAGTAATTATATTAAACCTTAAATGAATGAACACTTAAATGAAGTTAAGTTATGACACTGAATTAAACATAAAAGTAATTAAATATATCACACTCACAGACTAAACAAGGTAAGGTCTATACATCTGAAGAAAATATATGAAAGATATTTAACATATGAATCACCTGGCATGGGTTTATAACAATAAGATGATGGAGTGTTTCA